CCGTGAAAATATCATAATCGGCAAAATGTTCACCCAGAGAATCACTGCATTCCGCCAGCTGAACAACACAACAAATTTCACAGTCTGTGAGAAGCTTCTAATATGTCAGATGTGCTTTATCGAATGCCCAGCAATACAAAAAAGAGCACCGTCTAACGAATACACAGCGATAATGAAAAAGATGCCTCCTCCTGTTCCCTCCCCCATCCCTCGCCCTTACACTGCAAAACGTCAGGGCAACCCTCAAATGAATTAATCACCACCAGGCGGGATAGTGCGATTATGCGTTTTTGCACTTTTCGTGCCGAAGCAAGATCGCAAGAAATCAAAGTAGCTGACCCTATGAAATACTGGCCCTCAAAGTTCGGGAAGTTAATTGTGCAACTGTCAGTTGTAGGTGTTGACTTCAGTGACCCGACAAATGGTTGGTCCGCAAAAGATGGCCACAGTAGAAAAGTTAAGTTTAAAATCTTTTAGTCGCACGTGAGCAGGAAACATTCCCTTAAAATTAAAGCTTCCAGCTTTTCCCGTTCCCCAGTTGGCAGTTTTCCCATCAAAATTTTCACGTGTCCGTATGAGAGTACCAGACGGTTTTAAGGAGCTGAATTTAAAATCTTTTGGTCATACATGAGTAGGGGATATTACCCTAAAGTTTCAGCTTTCTAGCTTTTCCCGTTCTCGGGTTAGTGATTTTCGCGCCAAAATTTTAACATGCCCGCACGTGAGCCCCTGGCGGTCCTAAGGAGCTGAGTTTGAAAACTTTTGGTCGTGCATGAATGAGTATGGGACATTGCCTCAATTTTTCAACTTTCTAGCTTTTCTCATTCTCGAGTCATGAATTTTCCCGCCAAAACTTTCAAGTACCCGTACATAAGCCCCAGGCACTCCTGGGCAGCTGAATTTGAAATCTTTTTGACATACATGGGTAGGGAGCATTCTCCCAAGGTTTCAGTTTTCTAGCTTTTCTCGTTCCCGAGTTAGCGATTTTTGCGCCAAAATTTTCACGTGCTCGTACGCGGGGCCCAAACGTGCGTGAGGATTGAAACCGCAGTCCTGAGGTGGCACCTGGCTGGGGAACACATTCGCAAAATTTCATCTTCAAAGCTTGCGTGGTTAGCTAGCTGAAATACCCGGACAGACGAACACACACACACACATACACTGACAGAGTCGTTGCAATATGCGTTTTTGCTGCCTGTCGCAGCGCTCTAGCGCCGCACGGCAAAAACGCATAAAAACTGAGGTTGCCAGGATGCCAAACAGTCAATCGTTAACAGTTTGTTGTTTCACGCGGAATGTTCTGATTTATGAACATGCGTTTAGGTTATTGCAAATATCTTCATTTTGAGATGCACATTGTAAAAAACGTTTTCAAATTGCCCTCCCGCAAGACTAAACTTCATCAACAAATAAGTTAATGTCATCTGACGGTTTACACTTACCTCGGACTCGGATGGTTTACCACGGCGATGCAACTCCTTGGCCGTGACAGCGGTTTCTTTCACGCAGGCCATGGCTATCTGTTCGGCCTCATCAGCTTCCAGCGGTCTTCCAATCACGTCATCGTCTGTGACATCAGCGAAACGTGAAAAATCAAGTCCTCCAACATGTTCATTAACGACCGTTTCTAGAAGACTGCATTTCTCAAATCCAGACACATAAACAACTTTCCAACTTATTATATATTGAGTGGAGATGCAATTAGTGTTCGAACGCAACTGTCTATGCCTCACAAAAACAGAGAATTGTATAAAATCATTTCCATGTACATATACAAACACCGTGTCACAAAAAAAGCAATTAAATTACATATGCGTATATCAAAATGACCAAGACTACCCGAACAGTTGGTCTATGATCATACGTTCATGTAACCGAAATGTT